TACAGTACTGAATAGTCATTTGTTTACGTAAGGGTCACGTGCAGTGGCAGACTAATTGCCAAGCATTGTCAAAATGTCTAAACCCGGCTTTTCAACAAAACGCTGCGATAGTTTCCGAAAAATTTACGGAATGTACTGAATATATGTATAAAGTTCATATAAATTTGTTTCGACTGTTTTAAGAACTTTAAAAAAAAAAAAACATTCACAGAGAATATTTTGAAGCCTAATAATTCACTGCTAGTTAAAGGGCGGCAGTCGTCGTGCCGCGTCCTGTTCGATATGAGAATCATAGCGACGTATACAACGCGTGTAAAATACATTGGTTATTTACATGAAATTCGAACACGCGCTGCGCGACAACCACCGCGCTTTAACTCCTTTGATGGACCATGACTCTGTGACAACGCATTGTATTCAAAACCAAGACATTTCTCTTATTTTTGTGAATCATCGGTGTAAATTTGAAACATAGTACATTTGACAGGGGTTCCAGTGACATATAGTTACATTAATTATTCGCAGTTGAAAAACAAAACAAAAAGAAACAGAAAAGGCGACTACTAATCACTGTTATGATTTGTTTTAATATTACAACAAAATACTTATAAATGTTACAAATAATTCAGCAGTGCTACTGTAGAATATATTAATCATTTTGTTAAGAGAATAATTTCATATAAACAAGTGTAAGTTGGAAAAATACCTCGTGTAGTATGTTGCCAGTGATAAGTTAGTATACCAATCAAGGGATAATCCATTGTTAAAGGGCGGCAGTCGTCGGCCGCGTCCTGTTCGATATGGGACTCATAGCGACGTATACAACGCGTGTAAAATACATTGTTTATTTACATGAAATTCGAACACACGCTGCGAGACGACCTCCGCGCTTTAAACATTACTGTTCCTTTCCATCCCCTGGCTGTTTACAAATAAACTATATATATTTCAAGTGCATATGGTGCATAAACAATCAAATATACACTTCATCTAAGTAACTCAAAAGGTAAACACTATGCAAAAAGACTGGAGGGAACCAGACTTTCTAAATGAAATAGGGAGTAGTAAAAAAAAATCTGGAGGGGGAGATTTTGTAGCCGGTGGGCAGGTCATAAACAACTTTAAAAATCCTCCTTCAAGTCTAAATTAGTCAGGCCAACTAAGTTCCTAGACCTGCAAAATGCATTTCGTCATGATCGTTGGCTACACCCGGGTATAAAGCTAGGCTTCGTTTGTAAGTAACTTCGTCCTGAGGTATAAAATAAACCTAAGTTGAAAATTGTATCAGACCATAATTCAAAAGTTTTACAAACATTCTGACAGGAAACGAGATAATATAACTATAAGGACTATGATGTAATGATTCGTGCATTCTGTACATTCAACGTTGTCTTAACGTCAACTCGTGGTCTCACTGTTCTATGCGAAGCAAACACATTACATTTGATGTAAAGAAACAAGTATTCACGTCACAAGGGACGCCGATCACGACGTAACGTCTACCGTGCTTAAATATCAAGACATCATTCACAGATTCATACTGACATGATGTATTTATCCGGGATAACGTGGCTTGTTAACTTACAATAGCTTGCATTATCTCAAGAATGTGTTCACAGCACGATCGCGTAAATATATCGGAGGGCGCTGTTGACCTTAATCAACCTGTCCATGGATTGACGCACTGGGGACGCTGTGGTTATAAACAGAAGTGTAATGTTTGTTGACATTATGGGGTAATCATTTAGGTTATTAGGCATTATCATTTACATTATCAGTAATCCGGTATGCAACCCAAAACAAACACAGACTGTTTGTACTCGAATCATATATTATTTTCATGAACAGCTCCATCCACTTGCATGCACGCAACCATTTTTAAAGATTCTCCGAACGCCATTATATACACAAGAAAGCAATTTTGCCTATGATGCTAGTGGAGTACAGACAGAACGGCGTTTTGATACTTTTTACGACGCCCTCGCCGGCCGTGGCATGCGTATTTCGATCGGCAAAATCACTTACACTGGAACATGTTTCAACTTCTTTTCGTGAAGTTTAAATTGAACCATTTATTGGTTGTTAAAAGTAACATAAAGATTTCCCATGTGTGTTTGTTATCTAAGGCATGTGTCACGGGGTCTGTAACAAGCTCCGGACCGACGCACACGCATCATAAAATACGAATGCTGTGGTACTTTTCCTCTGATTGTAATTTACCAAGATAACTGAGAGTATCGATAAAATTTTATTCACGTCTTCTGTAAAAAAAAAAAAGAACAAAACACATTTGAAATCAATTAACTTGGGTTCTGTTTTGAATCATAGCGGACAGTCAAGGACATCTAGAATAGAGTCAAGGCTATAAAACATCGTGACGTCATAAGAATCATGATGACAAGACACTTGTACCATGAAATACATTTAAACTAATAGACCTATATTGGTCTCCGTAAATGAAGACATGATAGTTGTTAGAGAAATGAGTTGGCGTCTATTATTATTGTGAGAATCATTACAAGCAAAATAAAAGATGCATCGAATCAAGCCCGTGTGAGATTTATTTCTGAGACTGCGCATGCCGATTCCGGCATTCACTGATGGAGCATATAAGTTACTAACACGAAGGGTGTCAGTAAATCATCTATAACTTACAACTAACTAGATATTTCCGAAAACAAGGTTACAAGAGTTAATTCTCTTTATTATTCCTTTCTAGAATCATGTTGGCAGATAGTTATTGAATGTATTCACAGTGTTTTTCCACGAGGTGTGGCGTGCAAATTCCGAGCACAATTTTGTAAGCCGGCAACAGAAAACTCCCTAAAGCCTTGTCGTAAACTGCGGGCCCGTTGAAACTGATTGAGGATAAACCATTTGAAATCGAGGGGTAATCCGTATTTTCACATGCAGATCCATGGATCCAGAATTATTTATTCACACTTTTTTTCAGCACTTTCACGATATATGTATTTCCATGCGACGTCTTATAATACTCACTGAGTGTGGTGTAGTAAATATAATTATAAAACAAAAAGCAACTGACGCCCCCCCCTCACACAAACATTTTCGTACTGTATGGGCTCTTATCTATTTCTAGGGGATTATTTTTGTTCATTATTTGCGACAAGGATTCCTCATTTGATTCGGTGAGCCAAATCATTGCTTACAATTTCCATTTTAAACTTGCCAGTCAGAATGAAAATTCCTTCCGAAGAAAACGTACGTGTTTTGGAGCACATAGCATAGAAAAAGACACTGAGAGGATCCGTTACGAAGACGTCACATGTATTTCTACAGTGAGTGTCGCGTGTGTGTACTGGGTGTAGCAAGCTAATACTATAATATCAAACTCACCATCTACTCAGAATTAGTGTCAGGGTGAAGCTAACTTGACTTACGATGAAGGAGAAGTGAAGAGACCACGCTGAACACGTTGGGATATCTTGTAAAAAAAGTAGAGACATATTGTGTTATTAAAAAAAGTCGTTATTTTCAATGCGACAACGATGAAAATCATAATATCAACACAACTATGACATAGAACAAATCCCCTGGACCGTGGGTGACATGTTTACGGATTCCAAATTTGAAACTTATCGGACAGATTAATCAATTTTATTACTATTAACTAATTGACTAATATATATATATATATTGACTATAATATTGACTATTTACTATATATTGACTATATATATATATTAGGTCGGCTGCGTGTAATTATGTCTAATAGTTATATGGGTAGGTTATACTTTTTTAAACATTAATTTCAAACGTATGCAGCAAACATTGAACCAAAACAATCACACGACAATTGCTAATTTTGGCTGCACTTTTACACGTGTTGAGGTGTTTAGATTATGATCAACATGAGCCATGTGTACGTCTACAGCATACTCAATCTTTTGTAAAATGCGTTGTTTACATGAAAATCGAATGTGCGCTGCGTGGCGACTCTGTCGCCTTACAGAGGCGGCGGCACAAAATTGTTCAAGGGAGGGGGCAGATCTGCTCACCAACCTTGCTCTGAAGGCGCGACCTTACTAGGGGTTCGGAGGCATGCCCCCCCTAAAAAATGTTGAAACGCTATTTCCTGCATTTTGAGTAGCAACTTTTGCTAACACAAAGGGTTTAAGCTTGATTTTGGAGGGGAGACGCCCCTGCCCCCTCTGCCCCCTTCTGTGCCGTCGCCACTGCATTAATGGCGACACGTATTAGGCATGTACATGCCGCTTTACCTGGCAAAGTTTGAATTGAAGGTACCATTTCTTTCCAGAATTCACAGTATGGACCCCGTAACCTACTTCTTGCCTCTGGTACAAAATTCGTATCTACATTCAGGAGAATATATTCTTGGTCTTCTAGTGTATAGGGAGGCCATATTGTAGCCACTTCATCATCCACCATTTCTTTGTTCGGATCACTGCATGAGTAGAAACAATATATTTATATTTTTACTTTACTGTCGATTTTTTTTTATTACTGCAAGTATATGGTTTATGTGTATTTTTTATTAATTATTTTTATTTTTTTATTACAGTGCGACGGAGTAGACACTATTATTTCGATGAAGAGCATAGTATTCGTTAGCTACAATAACAAGCCACGAAAACGCGCACGCGCTTTGAATTAATGGTACGTACCAAAATGCAAAGTGTGTGCGCATTGAAATAATATAAACGTATTATTAATGCAAAGCACATCTAATTAGTAATATGTACTAGTATTCCAAAGCGGGTGCACATTTGATTGGCTTGTTATTGCATCAAGTGAATACTATATTGTGTGACAACGATTAATAGTTATCGATACATCCAGAATGTAACAGCCTGATACACTATCGTATAAAAATAGTTATCCGTTGGAATCCGAATTCTCGTGTCGATTACATGCTATCGCGAGATGATCAAATATTTCAACAATATTTTGTTTGCGGGACAATAAATTACAGCAGACAAAGTTGGTATACAGCTCGGTGATATCAGACAGTCATTATACTGACCCGACTGGTCAGAGGTCGCTTATACTAGTACTATTTCCGGTCATTGCGGTGAGTATTACCTGATAACTGATATCAGAGCGTTCTTTGTAAACAAGCGCTAAATAAATATATATTTATAAAATCAATAGGTTTATGACGTAAACTGACAGCGTGATAAATCCGAACATGTGGTTCAGTTGAAGTGAAGGAGAGTCAATAAACGTAAAAGAAAAAAAAAAATATTTGTCCTAGTTAAACATGTCAGAAAGAGGCATTAATGAACTACGGATTTTATGTACATTTCATGACGTCAGTCGATAGTGCTAGTGCATGCCGGGTGACTCAATCAGTTGGCAACTGAGGGGCAAGGCTTATGGAAACCTACCCAGTTTTGGCAAAGTTGGTCCAATGTTTCATAATTCTTCGACTTAGCACTTCTTCCTTCCAGTGATACTCGTCTTCTGTAGTGCGCGGAAGTCCGAACACATAGGCGATTTCATCACCATGGAGACAACCGTACCATTCTGGCCAAGGGTTATTTGTCGACCGGTGCGTAAAGTGGTATAAAAACACCGGGATGTCATTACCCGCGTAGAGTTTCGCGAACTCAACTGTAGGACATGTGATTTCCGAATCACCTAGCATATTAGCGATGTTTTTGAGCACGTGATCCGCGTTGTCGGGGTCGTACCAGTCGGTATATTCAAATGCTATGGATTTTCTAGTTAGAGCTTTTGCTGAGATGTAGAGTTCTTTAATAATTCGTTGAAACGTTGTTTTGTCCAAAGGCGCTGGGTCGTCGAGCGAAAACAGATCGTAGAAATGATACGGTAGAAACCAAGTTCCCTCGTCTTTATTTGAACCCAGTAAAATCGGAACATTTTTAAATAGACCATCTTTCATCAGATTTTGTGGAGTTTGTGTTAAAAATACCCCATCTACAACAGTCATAAAGGGCATACCAATAAGGCTATTGCCCACCCATTGGGCGTTGTAGATTTCTTCTGCGTCTTTTTGGAGGAAACAAGCAGTTAGTTCAGAAGCACTAAACTGGTCTTCGTCGTACTGGCATCCCAAATTGTTAGCGAACTCTTTTGCCCTGTCGATCGCCTCAATCTCAGTAAGGGTTGCCCATGGTGAAAGGGGGGTCCCGCTTTGTAGTATTGCACGTTGGAACAAATGTTGACTCATCGGCGACATGAGGTGCATGCCGACACTGACTCCGCCGGCACTTTCGCCGAATATCGTCACTTGGTACGGATCTCCGCCAAATGCCTCTATGTTGTCTCTCACCCACTGCAGTGATAATGCCTGGTCCATAAATCCCATATTTCCCGGGATCTCGGGGTCCATTAAGGACAGGAATCCAAGTGCACCGACGCGATAGTTCATAGAGACAACGACGACGTTTTCCATTGCTGCGAGTGCCTGGCCATTATAAACATCAAGCGAGGCCGTCCCAGAAACAAACGCACCGCCATAGATCCACACCATTACAGCAGTCCGCAAAGGTCGTGGGTATGGTGTCCACACATTAAGAAAAAGACAATCTTCACTCACAGGTACATTGGCATTCCACATATTGCTCCCACGGAATTCATCACCGAACATCAAATCGTCCATTTGCCAGCACCCCTCGCCGAATTTAGTGGCATCACGCGTACTGTCCCAACCACTAACTAGCGGTGTCGGCGGCCGAAATCTCATATCTCCCACCGGGGGTTCGGCGAATGGAATCCCAAGGAAATGGTCCACCATTTTGCCTAAAATCTCTGTCCTTTTTCCTTCGAGCTGTCCGTGATTTATACGAATTATCGGTCCTAGCTGACCATTGGTTTGATCTAACATTAATACACACGTTAATAGTAATACACACACATTACGAGCGAAGGGAGTCATCACGCATGTATTCACGATATGATGTTAACGTCGAAGTACTTAACACGCACTGGATTATTATAAGATTGGAAAATGTCCTCTTTTACCATAAAGTAACAATCAGTTGTGGGTCACTTCGCCAACTGGAGTATTAAAATACCGAGGCATGCGCACTGACATTGGTCGGTACCTGTTGAATCGAATCACGGCTCTGTGACATTGGACCAATTCAATAGTCATCCTGTATGTAGAGAATTGGGAACAATAACGCCTTTGAATAAATTCTCAGTGTGACGCATTCAAATGCTAAATACTTAAAAACCTCTCTTATAGATCATATACAGCAACACCCAGACGAGGTATACCTTAGTGCAGTGGATATTGCTATTGATAGTCTCGCATACATCACCGCCAATTTCTTTTCATACACATCTTCTCGATTCATATGGAATTTTGTGAATGTGTTTCAACTGTTTTTATACGTCATTGGTATCCGAAACGAACGTAATACTTTCTATTTTTCTGTCTTTAATCGAACAAAAATAGACGGACACTTTCTCGATTTACAAAGCGATGATGTCATACGCCAGCGTGTGTAATATCGGATTGGTGCGTCTTACACCGGCAAGGAGCTCACAACACTACCAGTTTAACATGTTTAGAATATTCCAAATGGTATGTTCACGCAGTGTCGTATCATATGTTTCACACGAGGTATGGCAAATTTATGAGGTCGTCCATTGTCTAATCGTTTTTTTTTTAATACTTCACGAAAATGAAACTTCGACATTCTTTTCATAATGATGATTTATACATTATTAGGGCTTAACATGGAAGCATATATTCTCTTCCATATGGATTCACTCGCCGTTGCCGATCATCCCATAGGCTTTCTCCAAAACATGGATACCCTTTCATATAAACACTCTCTACTGAAAACAAAAAAATCCCCAAGATGTTTGTTGATAGGAAGCACATTTCGACCACCAACAAATAGTAGTCTTGGACTCCGAGTATTCCTGTATGTGTGATACCACTTCATAAGATGACATTTTTATTTATTATTGTTACCCACAATCCGTCTGCAAGGTTCCGGTTTGAACAATTCCTGCTTTCGCCGCAGTACACCATGACCTATCTACCCAAAACCAACTTCTGAATCATAGGTCTTACGAAAACAGGATTTTTTCCACCATTGACATCAACGTAAATAATGCTACAAGTCCAATAATTACGAGTTAAATCACAGTGAACGCCTTACCTTCAAGATATTGTGCCCACGTGTTTGCGATTACATTGCAGCAGAAACTAATGGTATGTTCACCATGCAGTAATTAACATCCAGGCTGTCACATCACCCTGTTAAAGATTACTGTCAAACCTGAGCGTAACTTTGAAACCCTGTTGAACTATGACTATACATATATAAAACAAAGTATTATTATAATATAGCGACGTAGTTAATCTCACGGACGGGAGAGTTTGAACTGTTCACTGCTAGTATGTATATAGGGTATATGTTTTCTCCCAACGATCACCGTAACCCCAGATCTTATGTAGAAGTCATGGCGTGCCTCTGTCAGAATAAGACAGGGTCATGCTACAAATAAAACATCAAGTTGTGTCTATCCCCGAGAAAGGTCACGCACAGGAATGTAACTTTTTATCTATATTTATTTATTAACTTTATTTTTAAAAGGCATATTTGCATTGGATTACTTGTCTGTATTTCAAACTGTGGGTAAATGATGATAAAAAATGTACCCTTTAAACGGGTCCACTCTTTGAACTAAATGGGGGGGGGGGCAGAAGAGTCAGCTATTTATTATTCATATTTAAAAGTCCGTGAGTTTTGTTTAAACTAGTAAAGCTATTGAAACACTTGTACCACTATATTGAAAAGAAAAATGTGTAAACAAAAAGGCTAAACACTGTACGTGAAAAGACTACCCCTAGATTTCAAATGATAACACCTTAATGTGAGAAAATGTTTGCTCGGCGTTTACGGCAAGGATTCCTTATACATTGGTTCACGAGTCTCTTTGCGGTCTATTATTAGTGGAATTGTATTGTGCGACCTATACCTTCTTCATGGAAACACGCATGCTCAGAAGAAGGCAGGTTGTAGCGCATACACAACGAGCCCACACATAGTGATAGTAATTTTCTTTATTTAAATAGAAGATATCTAATTTTCTCTTCATATACATCATTCCAAACATATATACGTAAAAGCACGCCGGGATCGGGTGGCAGACATGTATCGTGACGCCATAACTTCACTGATACTGTAAAGTGAGAGGGAGTCTATTTTATCTTTGAACCTTTCCAATTGCCGCGCGCTCCCGATGACCAAAAACTATTTTTTTTACTATTAGATATATAGGTTTTGAATTTTCACCATCAAATGGGCTTTATTTACAAATTCAAGGCCATCGGCCCATAAAAGTATTTACATGTACAAGAAGAATATTTAAATAAAATCACATATCTCGTTCCTAAGTTTCAATGCAAGAAAGATGTATACAGCCAGTGGTTGTAAAATGTCAGGATTTTGAGAAGAATAAGATCTATAAATTTATCAAAATAAATTTTGAATTCCGTATATGCACTATTTGATATCATATACGTGTATATGACCTCGCAGACTGGACGTTCCTTGGCGTGTGACTACGTCTCACCATGGTCTCATAAATCTCCTAAAATCCTAAATTATGAAAAACATTTATAGCCGATGTCATGTGCTCCCTGTTCAAATAAATGAATAAGACAAATAATTAAATAGAATGTCAATGAGTGAAAGAGTTTGAAGGGCTGTGGTCGTCACGTGTGTTCCATGTAGATAAACAATGTATTTTACAGGCGACGTGGTGTTCGTTGCTATGAGTCCCATATCGAATAGGACGAGGCGCGACGACCACTTTTAATAAAAAGATCGGTACCCGAATTAATTATAAAATATATAATTGGCAAATCTGAGGAGATCGTCATTCAACTTTTAACTTCAAATCTTATATTGAAGTAATGTCGCCATCAGTTAAGTAAATGACAATTACCGCACCATTCGTAACCCAACAACAACAACAACAACAACAACAACGAGTGACGACTAACATGATTATTGCTTGGGAAGGTGCTTCAGCATTTTGTTCGAGTGTTTGCATTTTATTTCCGAAGTACATTCACCTTCTGTACAATAGGTAAGTCTCGATATTATGACTCAGCAAACACTTGCCATGGGCACTCAGTGGACATTCAACTTATTTTAATTTCGTAAAATTTACGAGTTACACTTCAAATTCTTCCTTGAACAAAGGACCACTTAGAGTCACCATGGCAACTAAGATACTAGATTTATTTCAATGTTCAATGACTTACTTAACAATGGTGGTACAAAATTTAGTTTGTAAATATCCTATCAACTTTTTTTCAGCATCATGACATGTATTTAACACCCAAACTACACGATACTCCCTAGCCAACCGCACTTTTTTTAGTAGTTCCCCTAAATACCCAACACAGTTACAATAGGGTGACAATATCCGATAAACATCGTCGATGTATTACACGTTTGCGTTCATTTTCATTAAATCAGCAAAAGGTCTCGAAAACTGAGGAAATTGATGTCGGAAAATTAGGTTGAATATTAATGTCTTAATATAGGGAATGTTTTTTGTTCACGGAGCAGAGACTCAAAAGTCATGACTATAAACAGTAATTCCATAATATTGCCATGAAGTTAATATTATTTTGTTATACCTGGTGTATTTGATATATTGTAGATAATGAATATTCATGTGAAACGTTACATTGGAATTAATATTCTCGACTTCAGGTCTCTGCTGAAAACATTATATATTCTTCAATATTAATGATTATATACTAGTACGATATATTACTTTCGGCACCGTCAGCGTCAAGGCTCCCTCACTCCGTTGTTAGTTGTCGGTATTGTTTATATGCAAATCAATTGTGTCATTTTCAGGTGTTCATCACATACAGGTATAGCAGACATTACTGGAATCATTACGTGATGTGGTCACGTGCCGGACGCAGCGGTCAAATACAGACAGTGTAATAATAGCACTTTCCGTGACTTTTTATCGTTTACTTGGAGCAATCACATTATCAATAGTCAACCGAACTTTCCTAAGACCAACCCGATTTTTGGACTCGGATATGTTACGTTCTGTCAGCAATATATCACACGTGTTTGGTCCAGCTGACACTTTTGTATGTTGTAACTCGGAAACAGCCATTGCGAAGACCGAGATTCATTTGACACAGAGGGCGACATTACTTCTCGCTAATCCCACGAGCACTTGACACGGGAAAAGTATTATACGTACCATTCAGTCGTAAAGACATCAGTAGTATAGTACAGCCAGATATTTATTACAACTACAATCGTCACAATATGCCCCCCGTCCTCTTCTCACTTATCACGCTAGAACCCTCCCCCCCCATTTTTATAATCGACAGTTAATCATTCAACCAATACTTTGTATGCGTTATCATGACGACATTTGAACTCCACCACTGAGGGCGTCGCCCCATAGCATCGTCATGACAACATCAACGCAACTTGGTGACAAAACTAATAATACAATCAAGAATGCGTAATCCCGAGTCCATCACTAGTAGCGATTCACAATTATGCAGATCATTATGTATTCTGTTGTTGCAGAAACTGTTTGGTTCTATAGGTGAAAAAATAATGCCGTGGGTAACCAAATGCCAGAATTCAAACAAATAATGTGAGCTTTATCACAGAAATGTATGTTTCAACCACTTTATGCAAAACTACTGAGAAACGGATAAGACCGGCGAAACAACAAAATTAGTGCACATCTTATCTCTTAATCTATTTATATGTTTAGTAATAGAGCTCTAAATGGTGATGTATGAACTGTAATAGACATTTTTAGTGATTTGCATTACACAATATTCAACAACCCTGAAC